CTGCCATACATTATGAACGCAGCCTAATGCACCTGGCACAGTGGCAGATCCAGAACAATTTAAGGGAGGTGGCTACTATTACCTAGAAAGGCACCTTTTTTAGGTTTTACCAATATTACCAAATGGCATTTATTCTTATTATTTTTTAACTTAAAAGAGGTGCTGCTAGTCACCCAATCCCCCCCCCCCCCCCCCCCCCCCCCCCCCTTGGATCTGCCATTGCTGTATCTTATAGTGGCCTCGGAGGATGACAAGCACAGGTAATTTGTACTGGGAGCCAAATATTTCAGAAATAGCTTATCATGAAAACATTTCTTGTTGTATTAATTCAATTTTTGTCTCCTTTATCCCTCTAAATCAATGCATTCACCTTTCTTCTTGTCATTATTCCTGCTAAAAATGAATGATTTTATCACCAGGGTCCAAAAAAGACTCCATACCACCTTACTAAGGGAAAATGCCCTTTGACCTCAAAAACCTTTAAAACTATATTCCTGACTCTAGGCTGTCAAGGAGTGTAGTAGGTATTTTCTGGTAGTACCACATTAGTGTAGAGTGTGTACATACATTGACAATATGCATCTATTTTACAATAGACCTCTTAACGTCAGTGCGTCTTTCAATTTCTCATACACTATCAGCTGTTGTTCTGGTTTCAGTGATAAGATTTGCTGGAGAATTTTCGTTGGTCGAGGTGCCCTGAAAAATTCACAGAGAAGTGAACATTCAGGATTTTTTCACATATATAGAGGTTTTGCACCATCAGGTGCCGGCGCCCATAATACAGCTTGGACTGCCTGTGGTTAGATAGAAGAACAATAAAATCCCTTTGCTCTTGAGAATTGAATTCTTTCTCATGTAAAACGATTGTATTGTTCCTGCCATTTACACCTGTAACATGGCTGCCATCACATGATGGTACTAAACCTTTATACAAGCATAAATATTACAGGCAAATTATCTTTATATAAATGAGGTTTTTACCTGATAAAGGTGAAGTGGTAAACATGTACAAATGTAGCCATGATAAACTGACAATCAAATCTATCCATGATGCCACCATGACCAGGAATTGTGTCACCAAAGTCCTGTGTGAAATAATTGTTAAACACATTAGATCAATAATAATCGTGATGGGAAATCTTGATAAAAATGTAATAACAAGTTGTCAGACGAAAGACTACACACTGGAATCAAAGATATTTCAAGTGCCAATGAGAACCTAGCGAGAAGCAAGATAATGTTTGTGGTTTGAAAGTAATTAAAAAAGAGGGAGATAAAAGATGAAGCAAAAAATGGAAAATTTAAGGGGCACTTGGATGAAAATCACTCAACATTTTAATTTTTTGTTTTTGTTTAGTGTTGATTAAATGTAGCCACTGACTCCTTTAATGATTAACAAATATATTTACTTCCCATTGGAACAACAAGAAAAAACTTTAACCAGTGTTTTACCAATAGTACTCTTAAACAGTATGAATTTTGGCACCCATAAGATATTACAAGCCTTTTTGGGGGGAGGAGGGGGGGGGGGGGAGTTAATTCCATACCTTGACTTTAAAAGCTCTCTTGAATCCACTTGCAAAGAATCCACCAAAAGGTGCAATGATAGAGCTGAAGAGAGCCATGGACAGCGAGTGCAGCTGCATGGGGTACATCCATATTACACTTTCTTGGGATCCACCCTATGTATTACAAAAATAGCGCAATGACTTAGTTATAAGCTATGATCTGGGGACTTATTCACAGTACTTTCTATTAGGGCTGGGGTCAAAACAAGGATATTGAACACAGTTTAACTAGGGTTCCACTTCCTGTGTGGTGTCCTGTGTATCTTGCTATGTATGTATTCCATTGGGAAAAGTATGCATTGTTTGGATGGACACAAGCGTAGCCGGGATCAATCTATTAACCAATAAAAGAGGGACTTATGGTTCATCTTTTCTACTCTACAATACATACCAAGTTTAAGAGAAATTTTATTGGAGCAGGTAGGTTGTATGGAGTGAGAACATACTGGGGTGAAGGTTGACAGGTCATCGTGAAGAAGAATGGAGAACCTTTCTCGTACTGAAAAATAACAAGTCACATTTAAGTTGAGTAATCAGCCTTCTATTATAGATCTTTCTTGAATTTGTATAAAATACAGGTGTACCACTGTGTTGCTTCACTACAAATTTATTTTCACAGGGTTAGCTTCAATTTTGTGCACAATATTCATGTGTTCCAGTGAAAGTTTGTAGCATTTCAAAGTGTACTCTTTTACACTTTCACTGAAGTTTGCAAAGTCATATTTTGCACTACTTAAAAAAATTGTAAAAGAAATTAAGGCTGATGTGTAACCTATCAAGATATTAGATTTCCTATAGGGTATACTGGTAAGCAATAATGGAGTCATTTCTGGGTCATCCCAAGGTTGTGGAAAAACCTGGGTTGATTTGGACTTGCAGTGCATCATGAGACTGTATTAGGGGAATGTGGAAATGAGTCCCCTAAAATAATCCCACAATACATAGAAATTCAACCCAATTCTTTCCTCAGCATTGGAATGTCTAATTTAAGATTAAAATCCTTGTCTTGTTCTCCACATCATTTCTCAATAAAATAAAATCAGATTACCAACCTCTACTGGACAAACAAAATACTGGTACTGACACATGAAATAGCAGGCCTGAAGACAACAAGCACAAGAGGAATTAAAAATATAGAAAAGATCAAGACTGGATATGACAAGCTTCTGTTCAAAAACTACTTCAATGTGGGCACTCAAACCAGGGGCACTTGCACAAGTTTTTAAAAATAGTTTTTTGAATAATCCAATCAGAAGCCAGATTCATGACGAGGCTCCAAAACATTTTCCCAGCAGTCCCAGAGTCTTTTGTGTTCTTATAGTCTTAGTGGATTGTCAATGTGCTTCTGCATCCCAGTACTTCATCATGGAAGGGGCTTATAATGGGGCAGCTGGGTCTTTAACCTGGAGAAAACTTCTGTTAGCAGAAGGGGAGCTACTCAGAATCAGAGGGGCTCATGACTTATCAGGGTGGGCTTACAAGTAGAATTTACAGAAAGTCGTCTTGTAAATCTATTGACAGGTGCTGTCAGTAAATAAAGAGTTTGACGTACCAGCCAGCCATAGATGACAGTAGCCACTCCACCTCCAATGAAACCCTCCCATGTTTTCTTTGGAGAAATCTGTAATAAAATTATTATTATGCTCAGTAATATAGTTACTATGAACTGTGTTCAAGATCTGAAAAGCATTGTTAATCTGTATGCTGCCAAAAGCAATAATTGGTCTTTAAAGATGGAGTAACATCAAACAATACAGTGTAGAATTTGCTTAACATACCTTAATTAGAGGGGTTCGGCCAAAAAAGAATCCTTAAAGAGATAAGCATCAATTTAAGTTTCCATTTACTATCATAGACTATAGCATACAATATTATATTTTAGCGTAATCCTAGACTTGAATATATAGAGATTCATGCACTGTGATTGGTCAAGTGACCAGTGTTTATTAGAAGATAACCACTGCTCGAAATGTTTTGAAAGTTCTTTAATTGCACTCGCCTAAAGGCTTGTGCAATTATAAGAACTTTCAAAACATTACTTGTGTCTATTAATTTCCAAATTGTACTCGAGATCGTGCGATATCCTATACTAATTAGACAGGTCTTGTTGATATGGGATTAATTAGGCAGCTATATAATTAATAGGTAATGGGATTTCATGCTCCCCAATCAAGAAATAATTAGACTCAAAAAATTCCTCTGACTGCCAAATTGGTTTCAGCCTACRGCCTCATCCAATTATGGAAGTCCTCAGAATTTTCCTCGTCCAATTATTTCTTAAAAGCATGGAGTCCTATTACATATACTTATTTAATTTAGCTTTTTGCCATGAGGGCAAGGACACTACAAGAGTTTTCACCAAATTACTGTGGCCCTGTAGTGTTAGCACAGGTACTGAAGATGATCATCACCAGTATTGACTTCATCTTCAACTTTGTCTCCAAAAGTATTCACCATAAATTAGAATTACGAAAGCACAAAGACTTGCTTACCAAATATGTAAGCCCATATGTCATTACAGATGACCATAGTAACAGGAAGCAAGAACCTATCAACACAAGATAAATAAATAAATTCACTAAATTAAGTCATTATTTCTATGAGATGGGATTGTGTGACCGATTAGAAATGTGACAATGATGATCATTTGCTTACCACACTAATCCTTCAAAGAGTGTTTGCATGATGAGATGGGATTGCGTGACCACAATAAGAAGTGTGACATGGGTCCAGCCAAACTATGAAGTAATAAAAATATTTTGTTATGGAATAAAAAAGCTACTGGAAGTTTATTTTGACATTATGATAATTAATTGACCCATTCTCTTAAAGTTTAATAGCTATTAAAGAGGAATCATAATAGAGTACTCAAGTGATGATGTTTACAAACGTTTTGAACTAAGTCAAAAATACGGTGATTTGTACGGGGGAATTATATATTCAAATGGTCATATCTCAGCCGATATTTGACCAATTCTCCTAAAAATAATTGGTATGCAAACATCTTTATTGATTGTCTATAGAAATTAAATATCAAAAATAATTAAAGTCAAAAATGTTTTTTTCCTGACGTCACACTTGAGTACTCTATTGAGATGGAGTGGTTCAGATGGGAATTACCCTATAGTATACAGGGCTTGAAATAACGGTATTAAATAGCCGGTCATGATCGATGGCTGACCAAATAAGTTTTAGCTTGTTCCTATCCAGTTTCCGGTTTAAAGTTACTGCAAATTTGACCAGACAATTTCCAGTTCTGTTCGGACACCAGGTCTGATGTCCTGCCATTATTTCAAGCCCTAGTATACTATCCATCACCACACTTCCAATGGTTCTCTCATCTTGAAATAATATGGGGCCAACTGGTAGAACTCTAACATGACCCAACAGCAACGGAAAATAACATACCAATGAGAATTGAACTTTGTAGAAATCCTTCTTCAAACTCAACACAAATAATATAATACCTGAAGAAACAAACAAAAAGACAAAGCTTAATCAAGCCATACAAGGCAGGGCTCAAAATAGCGGCCTACCGATGGCCAAATGCCAGGACAAATTTCAGGTTTGCCAGGCGAAAATAAGGATGCACTACCAAATGAATAATAAAATGGCATGCACAATTTACTGGAATGACCTCCTTTTACCATGCTCCTTTACCATGGCAGGGCAAAAAAGTTTTCTATTTAGACCCCTGCAAGGTAACTGAATGGATGTTGTGTGGGTCTAGTCTTCAGAGTAGATTTTGTGTACCATTCTCACTGCATAATTAATTAGCATGGATCTGTATCCTTATCACTATCACTGTTTACTAAATATCACAACTACAGAAGATCTCACACATAATTTAATCACCCAGACGTGATAATGAGTATGCAATAAAAATATATTACTGTGAAAACTTATGTAGGTGACCTGTCATTGCTGTAATAGAAGTACATGTACAAGGTAAACTAAGCAGTTACCTCACACTCTTCAGGGTCTTAAAATAACAGCCAATCAGTTGCCGGTCATGAGCACAGTCCAAAATTAATTTTAGCTTAGTCATACCTCATTTCTGGTTAAACAATCAAAATGACCGGCAAGGTAAAGATTTGACCGGACCAGTCCCAGTTCTGGCCAGACATTGTTCGATGTACGGCTGTTATCTTAAGCCCTGCTCTTTAATTGGTTCAAAGGATGATGTCAATAAATTGCATAACATTGTCATGGGGTGGGCCACAGCATTTAAGTCTCCAAGCCTACTGTAACTTCCTATTTCATTGAACTTACCAAAAATATACAATGTGAAGGACACTAGTCTGTGGTATGTAAAATAAGCTCGAACAACATCCTGGGAAAATAATTATTATAGAATAGTGCAAATTTTAAACTATTTAATTGTCTCATAATTCATGTACTAAACAGCTGTTGATTTGTGCTATGATTATCATGTGACAAGTTGCCGCAAATTCAAACATGCTCTTGAAAAATTTAGTGCAATCTCAGCGGTTTTCACTTACCATGTTCAAAGTTGCGGCACCATGGCTTAATCTTAACCGTTGCTGAAGTAAATGTGAACCACATTAATAAATAAAGCCAACGCGTAGCCTTAAAAAAAGTTACCACGAGTAGTTTTAGACTGTTCGCACTTAACATGAGTGCTAGTCGCCGCACTTATGAGTGCAAGTCACTTGTAACGCACTTATGGTAACCTGTTTTGAATTGATCAATAATTTCATTTGCACTGACCACGAGTGCAAAGAATGATATGTAGGTTATCCTACCGTAAGTGAATTCACAACCAATAGGCCCTTTGCAGCTAGTGGTCACGTGCTTGGATACCGCTTAGCAACACAAAACTGGAGAGCAAG